AGAGGAGGATCTCCTCTCCAACACCGGGTTGGGGGTGATATTCAAGTCCCCAGCTAAAAAAAGCGGCAGGCCTGCGGGAAGTCCGCTCTTTCCATTGGGTCATTCGGGCCGTAGATGCTCACTATGCCTACTTCCTCATCCCCCAATGCGGCTCTTAGGTGGACCCATCGACCCTCTTGCTGGTCATACTCGTGTGACACAAGTATTAGTCTTGATGAGGGTGAAAATCCATATAGCCACTCCTGTAGAGGTCCCCGACCTCGCCGGTGCAGAAAATGACTCATATGGCCAGACCCATTTTTCTTTAGCTAGGTGTGCGCGTGAATGGGTAAGGTGGATCTCTTGCACACAAATTGCGTCCGTCCAACTGCCGTCCCCTTCTGGCTTAAATATCCCGGGCCCTAGATTGCATCTTTTGTTTCATGAGTTGCCTGTGCAAGACCATTTAAATTCACCGCTCTAATGTCCAGATCCGCCTATGCTACTTTTCTCATCCATTCTGGGGGACGCCCGGGGCTAAAAAGTTGAACGATGATATGATTGATATCTAAAGAACGACGATTTCGTCAAAACGGACATTTGATATTTTTTGAACGAAATTTAAATTGTCATTTTCATGCCGATTTTGGTGATTTTTTGCGTTTTGAGCACACTATTTTGAGTAGGTACTCCGCATTGTTTATAGTTTGTGCTCATGTTTACCACAAGTTTTAAATTGCTTTCTCACACATTTTGGAGGGTGTTACAGTTTCATTCGCATTATGTGAAGCTATAGGGGTCTTGATTATGGGTTTCTATTGTACTTCTCTATCATATCGATTAACATTTACTATGTTTCGCAATATAGTATCAGTTATTTTTTGTTTTTTATTGACAAATGCATTAAGACAACAGGCACATATTGAATATCATTCTCAAAAACACATATGGCAGGTTCAGTCAATGACAAAAAAAATCCATGGACATATATAAATGTTTGAGACTTTTCGTGTCACCCACAAATTACGAACAACGTTATGTGAATCTTTTCGAAGTTCATGTAAAAGAAAATTGACTTCTTTATATAAATACAAAGCAATATTGATGCGGATTTTGGCTCATGCGACATATGATACATGTGCGCGGAAATATATGTACATAAAGAGACTCCATGTCTCTCTCTCTCTCTCTCTCTCTCTCTCTCTCTCTCTCTCTCTCTCTCTCTCTCTCTCTCTCTCTCTCTCTC